GAGGACGAGGAGACTCGCATGCTTGAGGCGGCCGAAGCAGCAGACAGTATTGCTGGGGGAGCAGGAAGCGCAGCTGGTGCAGGTGCTGCTGTTGGTGTTGCTGCAGCAGCTGCTGCTGCTTCTGTGGGCTCGCCTTTTCAATGGCCTGCTGTCGCCCCTTCCTTTTCCACGCTCTCCACCCCCCCAACGGACCAGGATAAAGCCAGTACCCAGACCAAGCAGAAAGGGAAGGGGGCAGGGAAAGGGGCCAAGAGCGCTGAAGCGAGGCTGCAGGGGCTAGCGGATGGGGAGGGGCGCAAAGGGAGGAACAGGGGGGAAGGGGACGAGGCTGCGGTTTCGGCCGGGGGGAGGAAAGGCAAGGGGAGAAGGGCAGCAGCGGGAGGGGCTAGTACTGAGGCTGATTCTATGGAGAATAATCGGATCAGCTCCAGTGGTGGTGGTATTGGTATTGTTCGTAGTGGCAGTAGTAGGAACAGCATTATTGAGGCGGCTTTACAGAAAGGGTTGGCTAGGCGCGGCAGACAGATTCATGCTGATCTGGCTGCTGCTGTGGTGACAGCAGCGGCAGCGGCGGCCGCAGCAGCAGTGGAGGCAGCAGCAAGGACTCCAGGCACCTCGGTTGCTTCTGCTGCAGCAGCAGCAGCGGCAGCAGCGGCGGCAGCAGGGGCGGAGGCTGTAGAGAAGAGCTCTTTGGGTAGGCTGAGACGGCAGCAGGTGCAGGCGGGATCGGTGTCTCCTCCTTCTGTGTCCGCGGAATTGAATGCAAAAGCAACAGCAGCAGCCGCAGCAGCAGCAGCAGCAGCAGCAGCAGCAGCAGCAGCAGCAGCAGCAAAGGAAGAAGCTGCAGGGAGGGTGGCTGAACACAGAGGAAAGAACCAGCAGCAGCAGGGGCAGCTGGGGCAGCACCTGCTTGGTAACGTGTTACCCACTGCTGTCAGTGTGCTGAAAGCTAGCTCTCTCCTTGCCGGACCAAGCACCAGTGCAGACTCCCCTGCTGCTTCTGTTGCCTCTCCCGCTGCTTTTTCCGCTTCTGCCTCATCATCTGCAGCAGCAGCAGGGGGGCAAGCAGCAGGGGGGCAAGCAGCAGGGGGGGGTTCAAGAAGCATGCCTCGTGGGGACTCAGCTATTTTTGACTCTCTGCCCATGGGGCCAGTGCAGGTGCAGGGGTACTATGCTGGGGAAGACGGTATGCTGCATAACAGCCCTGGTACTGGCAGCAGCAATGGCGGCAACGCTGCTGCTGATACATCCCCAGGAGCAGGCGCAACAGGAGGAGGAGGAGCAGCAGGAGGAGCAGGAGGAGCGGTGCTTGCAGAGGCCCCTGATTCCTTTGTGGACTTGAATTTGGAGGAGATTGGGACGGCGGAGACAGGAAAGCAGCTGGTGTTTGCAGGGCAGGCGGTGGAGCGAGCAGGGAGAGCAGTGGGGTCCAGCAGAGCAGGCAAAGGCATTGATGGTGCAGGTGGGGGCGCGGTGGGGGGATCAGAGCTGCTGGATCAGCAGCAGCAGCAGCAGCAGCAGCGGCAGCAGCTAATGCAGGGGACAGTGTCGGGGCGCAGGAGGAGCAGCAGCAGCAAGGAGACGGTTGCAAGCACTCGCCGACAGCTCTTCCCTTCGCCGCAACAGAAGAGTAAGCCTATGCATTGATGGATGAATGAATGGAGATGGCTGCATGAAGGAGGACAGGATGGGATGGAGATTGGTGGATTGTTTTTAAGGAATTCTTTGCTCTGCTGCGTCAAGTTCTTAGCCACTCCACCCCTCTCTTTGCTAACCATTCCCCTTCTTCCTCCCATCCCTTCCCCACTCCGTCCACTTGTAGGGGAGGTTTGTTGCTGCACGGGTTCCCCCACTCCCTTCTTCCCTACAAACCTCCCCACCCGCCACCCCGTGCAGCAACAGTCCCCTACTACGGCTCCTTCTCACCGGCCTCGCTCCTCCACTCCGCGCAAGTCCTCGAGCACCAGCCGTTGCATGTTCTCCTCCTCTTCCTGCTAACCACATACCTCATCTCCACTCCCATTCCTTCCCCTCTCCCTTCCCATTCCATTCTCCCCTACAAAATCCCCCACCCGCCCGCCCCATTGCAGCTACCGTACCGTCCCCTACTACGGCTCCTTCTCTCCTTCTTCACTCCTCTGCTCTCTGCTAATCCCTTTACCACTCTCCTCTCCCTTACAAACCTCCCCACCCAACCGCCCGCCCCATTGCAGCTACAGTCCCCTACTACGGCTCCTTCTCCCCGGCCTCGCTCCTCCACTCCGCGCAAGTCCTCGAGCACCAGCAGCAGCGCTCCCTCGGCTACTCCGCACTCGACCGCTCGCTCCTCACCACCATCCTCTCCTCCCTCGACTCGCCCCGCGACTGGCTCTCCTTCTCGCTCGTCTGCAAGTCCTGGCGAGCAGTCGCCTACCACGGGCTCCGCTCCCTCCGCCTCGTGCGAGGCAGGAGAGTCACCCTCGAAGGGTTAATCCGAGCCCTCGCGCACTGCCCAAACCTCACGTGTCTGGACATCCCGGGAATGTGTTTGGATCAGCCGGTAGGGAACGACCTGCTGTGTACGATTGGGTACTCGTGCCCGGATCTGCGGCGGTTGTCTATCGGTGCGGATTCAGAACTGGGATCGACGTTTCAGGAGAGTGGGCTGGCGATGCTGTTCTCTGGGTGTACGAATCTTGTGGAGGTTAGGATCGAGGCGTTCCGGAGGCCGCACGCCCGGAGGAGCGGCGCGAGCAGCAGCAGTGGTGGCACCAGTGGTGGTGTTGGCGGTGGTGGTGGCGTTGGTGGTGCTGGTGCTGGTGGTGGCGGGGTGGGAGTGAGTGGGGTGAGTCCTGCAGGTATCAGCAAGGGAGCGGAGAAGTCTCCTGCAAGAGCTCTGTCTCCGATAGTAGCTGTATCCGCATCAACCCCTGCAGCAACACTAGCAGGAGCAGCAGGAACCTCAGCAGCAGCAGCAGCGTCAGCCCCGACAGGAGCTGCCGCTTCTGCTTTAGCATCAGCTGGACCAGCATCAGCAGCAGCAGCATCAGCAGTCTCAGCCGCAACTGCTGCTGCCGCCGCCGCCGCAGCAGCAGCAGCAGCAGCAGGAGGAGGTGACTGGGATATCTCCTACATTCCCGAATCCCTAGGAGACCTGTCCAAGCTCCAATCCCTCTCCCTCAACTTCCACAACGGCCAACACCACGTGCGCCTTCCTGACTCCATATCCAACCTAACCGCACTCCACTCCCTCGAACTCTCCTTCCACTACCCCGCATCCCTCCCGCCCTCCCTCTGGTCGCTCACCAACCTCCAAACCCTCCGCCTCATCGGCTGGAAAGGCCTCGCTTTCCTCCCCAACTGCATAGGAGACCTGCGCAGCCTCTGCACTCTCGACCTCCGCTGCTCCGACTTAGTCGATCTCCCCCCGTCCGCCGGCTCCCTCCCTTTCCTCCGCGAACTCGTCTGGGAGACCAGGCGCACGCGGGAAATGGAGCTCTACGGCTCATCCATCCCGCCGTCCATCATCGCTTTCTCCGACATAACCCACCTCACGCTCAAAAACGTCTGGACCGCCTCAGACGACCTGCAACACCTGACCTCTCTCACGCGGTTAGAACTCTGGGGCGCAAAGGGGCACTTGCGCGTGCTCCCAGAGGCTCTCGGCGAGCTAGACCGGCTGGTATATCTGGACGTGAGAGGGTCGTTCCGCGTGGTTCCCTCCTCCATAGGCCGCCTGCGCCGTCTCGAGACGCTCATGCTGCTCAGCGAAGTTTTGGAGCTGCTGCCCGCCGAGCTCGGGCAGCTGACAAATCTCCGCGAGCTGAGGCTCGACGGGTGCCGGTCCAACCCCAAGCTGCCCGCGTCCCTGTGGACTCTCCACAACCTCCGAACCCTCTCCATGCCCTGCGACCGGGTCCCAGAGGAGATCGGCAATCTCAACTCCCTCCACTCCCTCGCCATCGAATCTGATACCCCCCGTTCCCTCGCCAACACCTTCCTCCCTGCTCCTATCGGCTGGTTGTACGAGCTAAAAGAGCTTCGGCTAGTCTGCCCCTACGTTCGCTCCCTCCCCTCATCCTTCGTTCTTCTGGGTAACCTACTCGACCTCCAGTTGCAATTTTCCGGGCCGCTGCCCAAAAATTTCGGCGAGCTGAACTCCCTGCAGCGCCTCGTTTTGGACAGCCGGGAAGTTTACGCGCTGCCCGAGTCTTTCGGGGAAATTCGCACACTGGAGTGTCTCACCCTGGTCTGCGAAAAACTTGCGTCGCTGCCCGACTCGTTTGGGAACCTCTCCTCTCTGCGCTCGCTCACACTCGTCCACTGTGCAAACCTTTCCACGCTGCCCGTCTCTTTCGGGAAGCTGAAAAACCTTTCCCGGTGGGAGGCCCAGTGCAAGGAACTTTCCTGGCTGCCCGTCTCAATCGGCAATCTAGTTTCTCTCCAAAGCTTAGAGCTTGAAAGTGATGTGATTACTCAGTTACCAGACACATTTGGTAACCTGCGATCGCTGCGAAACCTCCGTCTTGTGTGCCCGGCGCTCCCCGCGGTCGCTGCCGGCTAGCTTCCGGAACCTTCCGGACCTCGTGCAGGCGAACGCTGGAGTGGGCTCGTTGCTGGGGCAGTGAAGAAGCTGCAGGGGAGTTTCAAAGGAGCAGTGAAGCTGCAGGGGAGTTTCAAAGAAGGAGCAGTGAAGCTGCAGGGGAGTTTCAAAGAAGGAGCAGTGAAGCTGCAGCAGAGTTGCTGTGGCTGATTCCTCGTGTTATGATGGGATCTACTGTGTGACCAAATTCTGTGTGTGTCATGTGACTGCTGCTGTCATGTGCAAGACTTGTGCTGTGTGTGTGTGTGTGTGTGTGTGTGTGTGTGTGTGTGTGTGTGTGTGTGTGTGTGTGTGTGTGTGTGTGTGTGTGTCCTATGTGTGTGTGGTGGGGGGGGGGAGAGAAGGTCTATGGGTTGGGACGCAAGACTGCAAGTCTTGCACCTTGCTTCACTTCCCCTGCTACTTGTTCCGTTTTCCTCCCCGTTGTCCTTTAGGCATTTCATTTCCCAGCTTGCCTTGACTAGCCATTTTCCATTGCTAATTATTTGCTGGCTGCTTTGTGCTAGAAACTAGGTTGAACGAGTGATTTTCTGTTCAAATTAGAACTGTGCAAGCTGTGCACGGTTGCTCAATGCTTAGGTAATAATTATTGCTTTAGCTAGGATGGTCGGAGCCTAAGAGGCCTTGCCAGTCCTTGAACAACTGGAGTGTATCTATGCTATTATTTTCTCAGTGTAGATTCATACAGATGGTTTCACAATGCACAAATAGAGCATTCTTTTGTTAAGACTTGAGAGAGAAGATCGACTGGCATACACAAGTACGCAGCACTAAAAAGAACAAGCGAATTCCTTACAACAAGTCCAGCTTTAGCGAGTACACGGCTTGCATATTTCTCCATCCGCGACTGAAGCTGGTGCTTTTCGATCAGCTGCGGTACCCGAGCTGAAGTAAGCTGGCTGTTTTTATTCCGCTCCAATCCGAGCCCAGCAACAAAAAACTTTCTGTTCCCTCGCGAACGTCCTCCTTATCGAAGCAGCAGGAGTAGCGGGAGCAGCTCGAGTAGCGGAAGCGGGAAGGACCAGGAGCAGCGAGAGGAGAGCGACGAGTGGGAGTAGCGGAATTTGCGGGAAGCAGCGCAATTTGCGGGAATACCGGGAGTGACGGGAGGAGCGGGAGTTGCGGGGGAGCATTCCGCCAGTACCGGCTAATTTCTTATATCGAATCAAGTCAGCTAAGATGACGGAGGTAAGGGAGCTGGGTACACTACGTGAACTTCTTCATCTGCGTTTTAGGGTTACTCGTTTCAAGTGGCATGCGTTCTGGGGTTACCCGTTTCGAGTGCATGCGTTCTAGGGTTACCATTTCGAATGGCTCGCGGGGGTTTGACGTACGATAGACACGAGCGCGGAGCGGACCCGCAGCGCTCCCCCTTAAACCGCATGCCTTGTGCCCTGCTCATCGAAACCCAACAAATTCAACCGAAGTTGGAAACTGCTTTTAAGGAGCCGCTCACCCCCTTCCCCCCCACCCCCCACCAAAACTCCTCGCCAGTACTGGGTGAGTCAGGGGCAGCACTGGTGCGAGTACTGCCGCATATTCCTGGCCAACAACGCGGCGTCCATCCGCATGCACGAGGGGGGCACGCGCCACAAGGAAGCTGCTGCTCCCTCCCTTGCATCCCCTTTGCCCCCCTTCCCCTTCGCCCTCCCATTCCCCCGCCAGTTTTGGGTGAGGCAGGGGTAAATACTCCCACCCCTCCCCCGGTCCCCCTGCGCCCCGTCCCCCCTTCCCCTCCCCTTCAGTACTGGGTGAGTCAGGGGCAGCACTGGTGCGAGTACTGCCGCATATTCCTGGCCAACAATGCGGCGTCCATCCGCATGCACGAGGGGGGCACGCGCCACAAGGAAGCTGCTGCTCCCTCCCTTGCATCCCCTTTGCCCCCCTTCCCCTTCGCCCTCCCATTCCCCCGCCAGTTTTGGGTGAGGCAGGGGTAAATACTCCCACCCCTCCCCCGGTCCCCCTGCGCCCCGTTCCCCCTTCCCCTCCCCTTCAGTACTGGGTGAGTCAGGGGCAGCACTGGTGCGAGTACTGCCGCATATTCCTGGCCAACAATGCGGCGTCCATCCGCATGCACGAGGGGGGCACGCGCCACAAGGAGGCTGTCGCTGCCAAGCTCAGCGCCATCCGCAGGGAGGGCAAGCAGAAGGAGCGCGAGAAGGAGGAGGCTGAGCGAGCTATTAAGGCGATTGAGGAGGTGAGGGGGGAGGGAAAGGCTGGGAGGGAGGGAGGGAGGGAGGGTGGGGAGTGGGAGGGCAAGCAGCGGGAGCGAAACAAGTGCTTCGCGGGGAAAGGAGGCTCTGCGGGGTGGAAAGGGGAGGTTGTTTGTTGATAGGTCCTGAAGAGCATGCACGAGGGGGGCACGCGCCACAAGGAGGCCGTCGCTGCCAAGCTCAGCGCGATACGGAGGGAGGGCAAGCAGAAGGAGCGCGAGAAGGAGGAGGCAGAGCGGGCCATTAAGGCAATTGAGGAGGTGAGGGGGGAACTGGGGTGGGGGGAAAGTGGGGTTTGGGAGGAACTGGGAGGACGCATGGTGGGAGGGAAAGCAGAAGGAGCGCGAGAAGGAGGAGGCAGAGAGGGCTATTAAGGCGATCGAGGAGGTGAGGGGAGAAGGGGAGATGTGAGGGGTGGGGGTGGGGAGAAGGATGAGCGGGAGGGAGGGAGGATGGGGGTTGTGGGAGGGCAAGCAGTCTGCGCGTCAGAAGAGTTTTGGGGGAAGGGGAGTAGCTAGCAGGGTGGAGGGAGGGAGTGGGTTGTTGTTTTCTGCTGATAATTTTTCAAGAGCATGCACGCGACACAAGGAGGCCGTGGCTGCCAAGCTCAGCGCCATCCGCAGGGAGGGCAAGCAGAAGGAGCGCGAGAAGGAGGAGGCTGAGCGGGCTATTAAGGCGATTGAGGAGGTGAGGGGAAGTGTGTGAGGGAGGGATGGGAAAGGAGGGTGTGGTCTGCCATGTGGGTTGGCTCATACCATTACAAGAAGGGGGGGCAGAACAGAGGCGACGAGGGCTTAATGTGGCTCGTCCTCCCATTCCCGCATCCCTCTCTCTCTCTCTCTCTCTCTCTCTCTCTCTCTCTCTCTCTCTCTCTCTCTCTCTCTCGAATGGTCCTTCGTATTAATCAGCAAGGCAGAACACACAGAGGTACTAAGCGTAAGCTAATCTAAACAAACAAACAAGACTCAACAAGCAACAAACCGATAAGTACTACAACTTCTCCATCGCCTGCCTCTTCTCCCCACGACCCTACTGGCCAGTGGGGTCTTCCAGCAGTTGGTACAGCTGCTCCTCCCCTAGGCAGCCAAACGGTCCCTGCAGGCCGAGCTCGTCCGCGGCGAAGGCCTCGTGGGTCTTGTCGCGGAGGGCATTGGCCTGGGCGCGCTGGAGTGTGACGCTCCAGCGCTGCCGGTATTCCGTGAGCAGCCTGGCCACCTCCCTCGATTTTGGCGCTGCGTTGAACCGCCGCTTGCCCGCGAGCTCGGCGCAGTTGCGGAGGAAGTCGTGTACTCCCGGGGAGGGGTAGCCGTATGTCTCGACCGCCATGGCGTGGAAGCCTACCCACGCGTTCCGTCGAGCGTACTTGTCCTCCTTCTTCGCGGCTTGCATCCTAGCCCCCCACCCCGGTGCCTTACGTGCGTATTCGTCCTGGTGTGAGACCGGGTCCGTCACGGTGATGTCGCACATGTGGACCTCGCCGGTGTCGGGATGGCGGATGCAAACATCCGCTTTCAGGTTTTCGACCGGTGAGTAAATTGTGGATTCCTTGTGCACCGTGTAGCCCGCCTCCGCCGCAATCCTTGCGCACTCATCACGAAGAGCATGGTGAGTGGCAATTCTCCCGCCGCCTTTCTCGCAACGCATTAGGTGGTTGGGGAGGCGGTGGTCCGGGAAGGTTGTGCGGTGACGGCAGTCGCAACGACGAGGGACAGGTAGGGGGAGGCCTAAGCGGAAGGAGGATGCAGTGGAGTGCTGCGGGGGGCCGAGGCGAAGAGCTGGGGTCAGGGGGATGGCCAGCAGCCAATCTCCTGCCCCGGGGCCGAGGAGTGATTGCAGGCGTTGGGTGTGGCCGAAGAGCGGGTTCAGAGGCATCTCCCGCGAGGCATCGAGCACCTCGATGTAGCGAGCGGTGTGAACGGCCAGCGACAAGGCCTGCTGTAGCTTCAGGCCATCTGTACCGCGCCGGCCGGCCTGTAGAGCCTCCAGCCCATCCGGGGGCAGCGTGGCCTCTGCCGCTGCAAGGCGCCGAGGCAGGACCGAGGGTGAGTCGGCGTTTGCATCCAGTAGCGGCAGCAGCTGGGCTATAGCGGGGTGCAGAATGTCACCGGACGAACGAGCGCAGCAGGTGGGCGGAGGAGATGACCGAGGCTAGGTAAGCGAACACCCCTTCCGTTGCTGGATTGGTGATGCCGAGGCCGCCCAGTGTCACGGGTAACGCGGCCTGCCGCCAGATTCTCCCCCGCTCCGCCCCGTCCCGTGGTATCGCCGTGTGCGCCGCGGTCAGGTACGTGTGCAGCAGCTGCTCCCCCCACGCCGACCAAGTGTCTGCTGGCAGCACCTCCAGGGGCGTTGTCCTAACCAGGTACGAGGCGCGGCGGCTCACGCAGCGTGTCAGGAGGAGCAGGCTCAGCTGCGGATCCATTTGTGAGAGGAGCGGAAGTGGCTCTGCTGCTGCCGACAGGCGCTCCTGCACCAAGGCCGCGCATCCTGCCTGCGGCCCGATTGGGCTCCCCAAGACGCGGATCCCATCCGTCGAGAAAGGTACGTGCGGAGGGAGGGAGGCGGGGTCAGTGTGCGCGGCCGACCACGCCGCGCACTTCTCGGGGTTGTGTTCCAGGCCGAGGGATAGCAGGGCGGTGGTGAGGTGAGTGAAAGCCTCCGTGCACGCCTTTGCCTCCCCCAGGAGAGTAATGTCGTCAGCGTATGCGAGAAAGACGACTCCCGGGAATGCTTCCGCCGCAGCTACCAGGCAAGGGTGTATGCTAGCGGCGAAGAGAAGCGGGCCCAGCGGGTCCCCTTGACGTACGCCGCGCGCGGACTGCAGGGGGGGAGCGTGAAACTCGTGGTCGAGGTGCAGCGCCGAGGGGACTCCGTAGGTATGCCGGACCAGGGGCACTAGGAATTCCAGACTGGTCCCCTTCAGGCCTTCGAACACCGCCGCTCGCTCGACCGCGTTAAAGGCGTTCGCTAGGTCGATCTGCAGCGCTACTGCCCCTGTATTCTCCTCCAGGTACGTTCTGGCGGTATGCACTGCTGCTTCAATGCCGCCAGCTATCGCCACGCCGAATTGGAGCGGAGCGAAGTGTTCACGTGCCTTCTCGGCCGCCAAGAATAAAGCCGCTTTGGCGACAAGCCGTAGCAGGCACTCGCCCACCGCAATCGGCCGTGTACCCCCATGTGGCTTGGCGAATGCGAGTAAGCGTGATGATGTGAGGAGTTCTGCCGCTTCTGTGCTAAGTTTACCGGCCAGCGCAGTGTTCGTAAGTGCGTGCAACTGTAGGAAAATGTCTGTGTTTCCTAAGGCAGCGTCCCTCAGGTGTTCAAAGGTGGTGCCTGAGGGGCCAGCGCCCACTCCATTCGGGCACTTGGCGAGGATGCGCCTGAAGTCGCGTGGATGGATTGTAGGGGTTGAGTCAGTGGTGAACTCCCGTACCCAGTCAGGGATGGCTTGGCGCGCAGGGGGGTGTCTAGCTGAGAGGGCTTGGAGCACGTCCGTGGATGGGGGGGAGACTGGCGTGGCTGTTAGGGATTGGAGTGATTTCGCCAGATTCCCTCGTTTGGCCAAACCCTCAGCCCTTGCCAGGATGCCTGTGGCGTCTGGCGCATGGAGGGGCTGTGGGGGTTGGGATACTGCGTCAGCCGCCTCGTCATACAGGTTCCGCCAGAGGCCCTGGCGGAACTGAATTAACCTGGCGCCAACCTTCGACCAATCTGGGCGTTTGGCTGACGAAGTGCGCAATAGGATGCGCGGGAGGAACATTAACAGCCTCCACCCCGCAGGTGAGTCAGGGTCTTGGGCGAGGTGTAACAGAGGGGTGAGGAGGCAGGCAGCGAAAGAGTCGCGAAGTGTGCGAGGTGGGTGACGGGCGAGTGGAGGTTGCCTGCTGTCGCGAAGGGGGTTGAGGTCCCATGTTGCGACGTCGGCGAAAAGGTCCTGGCGTTTTGCCAGGTCGCCAGCACTGAACATTGGCTGGCGGGTGGGTAAGTCTGCGCCCTGCTGATTGGTTCGGGAAGGGGTGCCATCTGCAATTTGTGCGGCTCGGTTCCCCCCCCGACTCGAATCTGTCTCCCAGGTCGAACTGCAGATGCGCCTCGGCTATGTGTTAGGTTTTGAGCCAACTCCTCGTGCTGCTCTGCCTCTTCCACCTGAGGAGAGGGACTAGAACTCCCCTCTCTTTCAGGGTTAAAAAGTGGGTCACCCACGGAGTTTTCATCACTCGATTCTTCTCCATCTCCAGCTCTCTCCCGCAGGATCCGGTGAGCGGCCCTCGCGAAGCTACTAGCCCCCCGTCGTTGAACTGAGACGCCTCCTCTGCGTCCGCCTCGTCTCCCACCTCTAGCCACGCGGATACCTCGCGGCGTCGTGCCTGCCTCTGCGTCGCGGCGTGCTGGCTGAGGCGCGGAGGTAGAACCACGGCCTCGTCTTTGGCGGCCTGCTGGCGTCCGTGGCTCCGTGCTCCGGCGTAATGAACCCAACCGCGGGTCGCGACTGCGCGCAGGAGAGTACTGCAGAGAGCGCACGGCTCGATCCGCCCCGTGCGCAGGGGCCTGCTGCTCCTCGCCCTCTCGCAGCAGCGCGCCCCTCCGCGTCTGAGCCTGTCCCCTGCCTGGAGCGCGGGCTGTCTCTTCCTCTGCGACATGTTCGGCAGCCTCATACGCCGGAGTACTCGTGGGTCCCCGCTCAGATTGCCTCAAACCGGTCTGCTGCTCAGCCGCGTCAGGAGCGCGGGCGTTCGCCGCCTCGCCAGCAGCAGCGGCAGCAATCCCCTCGCCGCCGGTTCACTGAGCGTCGCGAAGATCAGCGGGACGGCGCTGGAAAACGAACCCCACACAAAATAATGACTGGAGCAGGGAGCTAGCAGCCTTAAATAAGAGAAGGCTGAGGGAAGAGGGAAGAGGCTGAGGGAAGAGGCTAAGGGTTCCCTCTCTCTCTCTCGCTCTCTCGAAGGGCCGCCGAAAACGAACCCCACACAAAATAATGACTGGAGCAGGGAGCTAGCAGCCTTAAATAGGCAGAGAAGGCTGAGGGAAGAGGGAAGAGGCTGAGCGAAGAGGCTAAGGGTTGCCTCTCTCTCTCTCGCTCTCTCGAAGGGCCGCCGAAAACGAACCCCACACAAAATAATGACTGGAGCAGGGAGCTAGCAGCCTTAAATAGGCAGAGAAGGCTGAGGGAAGAGGGAAGAGGCTGAGGGAAGAGGCTAAGGGTTCCCTCTCTCTCTCTCGCTCTCTCGAAGGGCCGCCGAAAACGAACCCCACACAAAATAATGACTGGAGCAGGGAGCTAGCAGCCTTAAATAGGCAGAGAAGGCTGAGGGAAGAGGGAAGAGGCTGAGCGAAGAGGCTAAGGGTTCCCTCTCTCTCTCTCGCTCTCTCGAAGGGCCGCCGAAAACGAACCCCACACAAAATAATGACTGGAGCAGGGAGCTAGCAGCCTTAAATAGGCAGAGAAGGCTGAGGGAAGAGGGAAGAGGCTGAGGGAAGAGGCTAAGGGTTCCCTCTCTCTCTCTCGCTCTCTCGAAGGGCCGCCGAAAACGAACCCCACACAAAATAATGACTGGAGCAGGGAGCTAGCAGCCTTAAATAGGCAGAGAAGGCTGAGGGAAGAGGGAAGAGGCTGAGGGAAGAGGCTAAGGGTTCCCTCTCTCTCTCTCGCTCTCTCGAAGGGCCGCCGAAAACGAACCCCACACAAAATAATGACTGGAGCA